GCTGCCCTGGCCCCAGGATCCTGCCCTGCCCTGGGAGAGACTGCAATTGAGGTGGGGGTGGGGGGAGTCAGGAGGAGCTGGCAGCTCCAGGCCTCACAGGTGGGGACACTGAGGTAGGCCCAGGGGCGGTGGGACCATGGCTGTCCAGGGACCCACTGGGCGGCCTCAATCTGCCTGGAGGCGCGTGGGGGAGCAGAGAGCCCAGCGGGAGGAGCCGGCCTGCCGGGGCCCCAGGCCTTCCTGCTCCTGGGGCCTCACCCCCAGAGCTCTGCCCCCCTCCCCTGCAGTCCCTCCCTACGGACCCTCTCCAGGGGCCCCAGGCACCCCTGCTCTGCAAGCCCCAGCTCAACCCTGCACCTCCCCCCCCCCCCCGGCTCCCAGGGTGTGTGTATGTTGGAGGGGCAGGCATCTGGGCCTGTCCCTTCTCCTCTCATCGCTCTGGGCCTCCTTCCAGCACGCTCACCTGTGTGAGCATGCCACCTGCAGCCAGCTCCACCCGGGTGGGGCGGGGGGGCCGGGACCTCCGCCCGTCTCCCCAAGGCAGCCCCTCCTGCCTCAGCACCCGGACTCTGCGGAGTCTGGGGTCTCCTGTGCTTTAGTTCTCCCCACTCCCTGGCCACACACCCCTGCTCAGCTCTCAGACCCCCTTCCCTAGGTGGCGGGGGGTGGGGGGCACCCAGCAGGGTATCTGCCCGGCCCCCGAGACTGCCGTCACCCGACAGGGTCGCCGGGCCCAGCCCAGCCAGGAGGGAGAGGGCACCCTCAGCGAGGTGCTGCTGGGGAGGCAGCTGGAGCAGCGCCAGGGGAGCGGGGTGGGTCCCAGCAGCTGCCACGGTGCCCACGCCCCCTGCCTAGGGCACCTCGAGCTCCTGTGCCCCACCTGCCACCCACCTGCCCTGCCCCCTCACTGGCTCAGAGCTCTGCTCCCCCCACCACCACCACCACCACAGCCGCCCCTGCCATGATGAGGGACAGTCAGCCCCTGGGGAAGTGCCAGGCCCGCAGACCCCTCTCCAGCGGCCAGGGCCAGGACCTGCAGGGCACAACCGGAGAAGGGCACCGGGATGGCAGGGTGCAGTGCTGCCCTCCCCATGCTCCCTGAGAGGACCTGCCCTCCCCTCCGCTCCGCTCTGCGCGGTGGAGGTGGTTGCTGCCTCCACCCCAGAAGCCAGCCCTGAGAGGGCCTCTCAGAGGGTCATTTCCCTTCACTCCATCCCTTCCCTCGTGACCCGTCATGCAGTGTCCACTCCAGTCCCTGGCGTGGGAGACCCCAAGGGGGCAGCCCACCTCCTTGAGCCCCCCAGCACCCTCAGCCCATGGAGCCAGGGGCCTTATGGCCAGGAGGTCCCTGTGGGCCTGAAGAAGTTCCTATTTGGTGGGTCTAGACTGGCGTGCTCCCCCAGCCAAGCCCCAGCCTCTCCCAGGACTCAGCAGGCCTTGGCCTCAGAGAGGCAGGGGGCAGCCCACTGGCCGCCTGCAGGGGGCAGAGTCGAGACAGGACCAGGGCCTGAAGCCCCTTGTGGAACCAGCCCTGCGGGCAGGGGAGGAAGGAGAGAGGGAGGGGGCAGGACAGCTGGGAGGGCCAGGCCTGGCTCAGAACTGGCACTGTCAGCAGTTGGTGGGGACTGGGGGCTGTGGAGGAGGGAGGGGGCTGTGCTTTGAGTTGGGGCCCAGTAGGCAATGGACCCAGCCGGCAGCGCCAACCGCTGAACCGAGGGACCCCCCCTCCCTCCGACCCAGAGCCTCCAGCCCGAGGGCCTCAATCTGTGCAGGCGGGAGGGGCCGGCCCGCGGTGGAGCCTGCCTGGGAGGGAGGCCAAGCCCGCTCCCGCGCCCCCCGGGCTGAACCCTGGGCCTCCAGCGCGGAGCCAGCACAGACACAGGAAATCGCCTAATTGCATCTGCTCGGAACAGCAAATCCCTCGCAGCTGCAGCGGCTGAGCTGGGGCCACAGGCGGCCGGCTGTCGCCAGCGTCCTGACAGCTCCGCTGAGCGTGCCAAGGGGTCTGGGCCTCTGGCCGGGGGCGCCGTTCCCAGGCCAGGGCCCCCCACCCCACCCCAAGAGAGCCACCCCCACCTCAGTTCCCAGAACTGGGCCCAGCTGTGGATCAGCGAGGGGCTGAGGTCATGGGAGGGGCCAGGAGGGGCCGCATTACTCACATCCTGGGGCTGAGGAGAGGGGGAGGAGGCGGGCGGGGGAAGGGGCCCAGCAGGCTCCTCGTCCTTGGGCTGCTGGGTCAGGGGCTGGGGCTGGGGTGGCTTCTCCCAGCGTGGGGCTTCGGGAAGACACGGGGAGACCCTTACCCTGCCCCCTCATTCTGCCCCTCAGGAAGGCCCGGGGTCCCAGGGATGGCAGGAATGGGTGACCCCTGGAGGGGCCTCAGGGAGGATGTTCCCAGCAAATGAGGCTTGGCCTCTCCCAGGGCCGTTGTCAGGGCAACGGCAGGCAAACAGTAAACAGTGCTGGGACCTGCCACTCTGTGCTCACCTTGTTCCCACTTCTGATCTGCACATGCACGTGTGTGTGTGTGTGTGTGTGTGTGTGTGTGTACACAGCGAGGGGGCCTGGGCCCAATGGGGAGTGTGGCTCTGTGTCTACGTGAGCCTGTGTACAGGCCTCATGGAGAACATGTGTGTCTGTGTAGGGCTCATGGAAAACGTGTGAGTGTGTGTGTGTGTGGCTCATGGAGACCATGTGAGTGTGTGAGTATGTGTGTGTTTCATGGAGAATGTGTGAATGTGTGTGGGGCTCATGGAGAACATGTGTGTGTGAGTGTGTGTGGTTCATGGAGAATGTGTGAGTGTGTGGGGGGCTCATGGAGAATGTGTGAGTCTGTGTGGGGTTCATGGAGACCGTGTGGTCTGTGTGGGGCTCATGGAGAACATGTGTGTGTGAGTGTGTGTGGTTCATGGAGAACATGTGAGTGTGTGTGTGGTTCATGGAGAATGTGTGAGTCTGTGTGGAGTTCATGGAGACCGTGTGGTCTGTGTGGGGCTCATGGAGAACATGTGTGTGTGAGTGTGTGTGGTTCATGGAGAACATGTGAGTGTGTGTGTGGTTCATGGAGAATGTGTGTCTGTGTGGGGTTCATGGAGACCGTGTGAGTCTGTGTGGACTGTGTGTGGTTCATGGAGGATGTGTGAGTGTGTGTGTGTGGTTCATGGAGACCGTGTGAGTGTGGGGGGGGCTCATAGAGAACGTGTGAGTTTGTGCGTGGTTCATGGAGAACGTGTGAGTGTGTGTGTGGCTCATGGAGGATGTGTGAGTGTGTAGGGCTCATGGAGAACGTGTGTGTGTGTGGCTCAAGAACATGTGGGTCTGTGTGCGGTTCATGGAGACCGTGTGATCTGTGTGTGAGGCGGCCTGGCCATGTGTGTGCTAGGAGCTGAGCACAGGCCTGCTCAGGACACATGGCCAGAGGGGTGAGCCCAGACCTCGGACACGGTGTGGCCTCTGTGCCTTCAGAGCTGGGTGCACAGGTCTGGGGAGCAGGAGAAGGACCGATGAGAGGGCCTTGCACACCCCACCTGGGCCCCTGCACCCCCAAACAGCACACACTGGCCACAGCCCCGCAGCACAAATGCCTGTGGTGCAGCTTAGACCCAGAGAGGGGAGCAAAGGGGCCGTCTCACCCCTCCCAGTGTCCTCCTGGGGTGCCCCAGCCAGGGAAGCCCCCCACCACCATTCGGAGGGGCTGCTGGTTTGCACAGAGGAGAGGAACCCTGGACGCCAGCTCCCCAACAGCCCCAAGGGCGCCCCAGGCTCTGCTGTGCACACAGAAAGCCTGCAGCCCCCTCCCAGGCCTGAGCGGGGGACGGGAGGGGGGCTGGCGGGCCAGGTGCCATGTGATGGGGCCAGGTGTGGGGAATCAGGGGCTCCCTGAGGCCCTGGGCGGGAGTGTGGGAGGCGGGCGGATGGGGGTGTGGAGGCCAGAATCCCACGGCTGCAGGGGGAGTGGGCCCCAGAGCCGAGGCTGTGGAGGGCCTGGCTTTTGTCTCAGAGGCTCCAAGGAGACTTAGGAGAGATTAGATCACGCTGGCAGCGGAGGCCCAGGGGCGGAGGCCCCAGATAGCGAGCTGAGAGCTGCGGGGTCAGGCAGCGGACACGGGCAGGAGGGGCTGGGACCCCGGGCGTTGGGGGGGCAGTGCGCCCTGCAGAAGTGGGGACCCAGGGCCCCCTGGGCTGCAGGGGAACAGGGTGGGGGGGCAGGGCCCTGACAGCTGAACACAGGCTTGAGGTCTGCTGGGCCAGGGCAGAGGCGGTGGATGTTGCCCCGAGTGAGGGGCAGCTTTCTTGTGCCTGGCCGGCGGCAGGCCTCAGTTTCCCAGAACTGTGTGTGTGTGGTTCATGGAGAACTTGAAACTTTGAAACAACCCGGAGAGACTCAATGCCAAGGAGGGGCTCAGAGGGGTGGGGTGGTCTTGGTGAGCGGACCCTGCGGGGCCCTGTCTGTGGGGTCAGGCCCAGGCTGGAGACACCCCCTTCTCCGAACCTTGGGCCTTGGATGGGCCACTTTCTTCCCAGTCAGCATGCTCCTGGGGAGCAGGAAGGAGCCCCCTGCATGGTGCTCAATGGGACGAGGCGGCTGCCTAGTGGGTTCTGCCCTGCCCGGCCCGGCCCAGCATGGCAGTGCCCGGTTGGCGAGGCCTAACTAGCCCCTGGACCCAGGAAGGGCCATGGCAGGGCTGTGAGGTGGCCAGAGCCAGCTCTCCGGACCCCAGGACCCCTGTCTACATCCTCCCTCCCTGCCTGGGGTCACAGCCACACTGCCTGTAGCTGGTTCTGCTCAGGCCCGGGATCCAGGCTGGACCCCAGGCCCTGCCATCACCAAGGCCCACACAGATGCACCTCCCTCCAGTCGAGGGCACCTTCTCCACCAGCTTCTGTGGCCTCTGCCTTCAAGATGGGGAAACTGAGGCCTGGGGAGGGCCGGGGCCATCCTGTGTGGGGAGGAGGTGGGAGCCGTGGCCCGAGAGGTGACCGTCTCCCTGTGTCCGCAGGCTCGCCACGCAGTGGAGCCAGGAAGAAGAGGAGGAGGCTGCCCGGGAGCGGAGTCGGCGGGAGCGGGACCAGGATGGAGGCAGCCCAGCCCCAGAGCCCCCCGAGCAGGAGACACTGTAAGCTGCCCCGTGGCGGGCCCGGCCTGCACCCCAGGCAGAGGGACCACGGTGGTGGGGCTCTGCCCTGCGGTCCCTCGCGGTGAGACCGAGGGACCAGGCCCAGAGCAGCAGCAATGCTGTGGGGTGTTCGGGGCGAGGGGCTTTCCAGCCTCAGTGCCAGCAGAGCCTGCCGGACGCCTGACCAGAGTCACGCACAGCCCCCCTCCCGGGGCCCGGCTCTGGCCGGCTCCAGTGGTCCCAGCCCTGCTTGGACTGGTTCTGACCCCAGCTGCACGGCCTGGGGCCCCCAGCCCCCCGCCTATACTCCCCGCTGCTGATGACTCACACACACCGAGTCCAACTTGGCCGGCCCCGGGCCCAGGAGGCCTCCCCGGCTGGGCTGGGCTGGGCTGTTTTTCCAATATCGCCCCCTTTCCCAGGCCTGTTTTGTTCCATTTTCTCCGAGTCAGCAGCTCTGGGCGGGGTGGGGTCCTGCAGCGGTCACAGCCTCCGGGCCAGGTTCTAGCAGAGCTGCCAGAGGCTGGGGGCAGGGGAGCCGGCCTGCAAAGGGGGACGGGGTGCAGAGGCTCCCCCTGCACCTAGGGAAGGAGCCAGGCAGGGTCCTGGGGCACAGCTAGCAGGACAGAGGGACACTGGTTACCCACACGCAGAGACACGGGCTGAGGGGCACACAGCCCAGGTCTCAGGGAGCCCCAGACCAAAGCGGGGGACACAGCCCAGCCCTCAGGGAGCCCCAGACCAAAGGGGAGGACACAGCCCAGCCCTCAGGGAGCCCCAGACCAAAGCGGGGGACACAGCCCAGCCCTCAGGGACCCCCAGAACAAAGGGGGGGACACAGCCCAGCCCTCAGGGAGCCCCAGACCAAAGCGGGGGACACAGCCCAGCTCTCAGGGAGCCACAGACCAAAGTGGGGGACACAGCCCAGCCCTCAGAGAGCCCCAGAACAAAGGGGGGAACACAGCCCAGCTCTCAGGGAGCCCCAGACCAAAGTGGGGGACACAGCCCAGCCCTCAGAGAGCCCCAGAACAAAGGGAGGGACACAGCCCAGCTCTCAGGGAGCCCTAGACCAAAGGGAGGGGGACACAGCCCAGGTCTCAGCGACCCCCAGACCAAAGCGGGGGACACAGCCCAGCCCTCAGAGAGCCCCACACCAAAGGGGGGGACACAGCCAAGGTCTCAGGGAGCCACAGACCAAAGTGGGGAACACAGCCCAGCCCTCAGGGAGCCCCAGACCAAAGCGGGGGACACAGCCCAGCCCTCAGAGAGCCCCACACCAAAGGGGGGGACACAGCCAAGGTCTCAGGGAGCCACAGACCAAAGCGGGGGACACAGCCCAGGTCTCAGAGAGCCCCAGACCAAAGCGGGGGACACAGCCCAGGTCTCAGGGAGCCACAGACCAAAGCGAGGGACACAGCCCAGGTCTCAGGGAGCCCCAGACCAAAGCGAGGGACACAGCCCAGCCCTCAGAGAGCCCCAGACCAAAGCGGGGGACACAGCCCAGGTCTCCGGGAGCCCCAGACCAAAGCGGGGGACACAGCCCAGGTCTCCGGGAGCCCCAGACCAAAGGGAGGGGGACACAGCCCAGGTCTGAGGGACCCCCAGACCAAAGTGGGGGACACAGCCCAGGTCTCAGGGACCCCCAGACCAAAGCGGGGGACACAGCCCAGCCCTCAGAGAGCCCCACAACAAAGGGGGGAAACAAAATCCAGCTTTTAGGGAACTGTAAACTCATGGGGTAGAGACAGCCCTGACTTGGGTGACAGCCTCAATGGGGTGAGGTGCTCCAGACTGTGGGGGACACAGCCCAGCTCTCAGGGACACTGTGACATTGTGTGGACTGGCCCGGCCACGTGGAGTGCCTCCGTGGCACAGGGTCCGAGTGGGAGGGGTGCGGGTGGAGGTCGCCTGCCTGCACCTTGGCCCAGCTCGGCCTCTCTGCTCTCCCCCCGACCCCTCCCTGCAGGCTGAAGGCCTCGGAGGCCCCAGAACCGGAGGAGGACGAGGGGTTCGGCGACTGGGCCCAGAAGTCGGAGCTGCGGCAGCCCCTGCGGGGAGAGAGCCCGGAGGGAGAGCAGGAGGAGGCCAGGCAAGCAGGGGTTAACGCGGGGAGAGAGAGGCCCCTCAGCACATGCCTGAGCGGAGCCAGAGCCCTCTGCTCCCCTTCCCCGCCGCCCCCCGAAAAGGCCCCACAGCTGGGCGGGGGAGCGGGGAGCGGAGGAAGGGAAGGAGACGGCCGGGCGGCGGCGAGGGGCCGGGGAGCGGTGAGGAAATCTCATTCCTGGGCTCCCCAGGGCCCTGGGCCCGGGCCAGACCAGCTGCGGCCGCGGTGTTGCCACATCAGCACACATCTGCAGCCCACTTACGTAATGGAGCCCTGGCCCCGCCGCCCTTCCTCCCACGGGGCTGGCGGGCCTCCATTCCCACGGAGGGGAGCAGGTATTTCCAGATGTGCGGCCCCCGAGCAGGCCCGGGGGACACGCTTTCCAGATGTGCGGACGTGTCTGCTGGTTTGAACCGGATCGGGGGGGCGGGGGTGAGGGCCCAGGGCTGGGGGCTGTTCCCCAGCTTGCCCCCCTCCCCAGTCCAGGGTCTGAGCTGTTCTCTGAGCCGTGCAGGCTGTGCCCAAGGCGCCCCCCCATCTCTCTCCTCGTGTGCTCAGGGTCCCAGTTCTGCTCAGAAGCTCCAACCGGGGGACAGGGTCTCCCTTTGCCCCAGTGTCGCCCGAACCCCAGCTCTCCCCGGCCCTCCAGGCGGCCCCGAGCTGAGGCTGAGAACTCTTCGTGGCTCAGCCAGTATTTCCCAACCCTCCAAGCACTCTCCCTCACTTCAGGAGTTCCCGCCTCGCTGGGGGGCTCTGGTCCCGACTCAGCCCCCTACCCACCATCCCCTGCAGGCCCCCCAGTGCTCCCCATCTGCCCCTGTAAGTTGGGGCACACTCTGCATTTCTGAGCTGGGGCCGGGGTCTGCAGGACGGCCACAGCCAGCTCCTTCCCGCCCCGCCAGCAGCAGGCCAGCATTCTCAACAGCAGGGGGCACTTTGACTCTTTGGTAGAAACCGTAGAACCCGGGCTCTCCTCCCTGCACCCCCACCCCCGCGGCCGCCACGCTGCTGCTGAATGAGCCCTCTGTGTGCCTGCCGCCGGCTGGACCCCGGCCCACCCTGGGTAGTGGGTCTGGGTCTTGCTTGGCACCAACACCAAGGGGCCTGAAATCATGGAAAATTCGAGACTTTCCCACCTTCTTCTCCAGGTTCAGTCCCGCTCAAATGCAGAGCAACTGGCTGCCAGCAGGCTGCCCACCCCCCACACCTGCCCCCGCCCACCCCATGGCCAGCTCAGTCAGCCCCCTCCTCAGGATGCGTCCTAGCTGGGGCCTGCCCTTGCCTGTCCACCAGCTGTCCACTCCCCAGACCACCCCAGACCCACCTCACTCTGCAACAGCCTTCTCCCCAAGGCCCACGGCTGCACTCCGAGGAGGGCAGCTTCAGCTGCAGGGGACTGGCCAGCCTAGGCTTCAGGGTGGGCGAGGAGACGCAGGACACGAGGCAGGGTCTGTCCAGAGAGTCTGAGCCCAGGTGGGGCCTCAGCGTGGGGTGGCCCTCTGCGGGGCTGGGGCAGTCAGGGCTGTTTCTCAAGGGCCCAGGGAGAGGGGCTGCACACCCTTCACCACAGGGCCTGGGTCTCGGGCATCCTTGGCCGGACCAGGAAACTGAGCTTGGGAAGTGGGAAAGAAGCCATCAAATGGCCGCTGGCCAGCCTGCGTCCCTCTTCCTCCCACAGGCCCTGTGGACCCCAGGATGGTGATGAGCTGTGTCCTGCCAGGGTCTCCCTGGAGGAGCTGCATCTGCACCCCAACTCTGAGGCCCAGGAGGGGCCAGGGCCAGAGCAGGCAGAGCCCAAGGACCCAGAGGAGGCGGGCCGGGGCAGCCCGGGCCCAGCAGAGGAGGCCGAGGAGGTGATGGTGGTGTCCCTCGGGGTCGGGTTGCGTTCGTCTCTGCTGCCTGCTCACTCCGTGGCTGGTCCCACAAGCCCCCCCGTGTGCTCAGGGTGCCAGTTCTGCTAGAGAGCCGGCAGTGTGTAGCCCCCACATTCTCCACATTCTCAGGGGGCAGGGGAGCGGGGTTCGGTGACTCTGTGTGGTCAGTCCTGCTGCAGAAAATTCCACAACCAAAGCTTGTCAGGGCTGGGGAGGATCTGAGGCCCAGGCAGGGGAGGGAGCTGTCCTGGCAGGTTCCACGGGTGGTGGAGGGGTAGGGGGGTGCACAGGGGGTGTTCATCCAGGTCCCATAAGCTCAGGGGTTTTGTTTCCAGCACCAACAATGGCAGCGGCCCGGAGCGCCCAGCCCCTTGCTCCTGGAGGAGACCACCGAGCCGAGCTCGCCTCCCCTCAGCCCTAGCACCAAAGTAGGTCAAGCTTCAAGCGCTGCCTCTCCCTCCTCCCAGCCCCATCAGCCCCAACAGGGAGCACTCCTGCTCTTTCTCTGCTGTCCCCGGTCCCTGCCCCCCCCCCCCCCCCCACACACCACCACACCCAGCATCCCAGAAGCACCATCAGGCAGGGATAGAGGGTGGGCCTTGCTCGGCTCCCAAGGCTCATGTCTCTGTCGCCCTGCACAGCTCCTGGACAGAACCGAGTCCCTGAGCCGCTCCATCAAGAAGAGGTGTGTACCCCAACGGCTTCCCAGGCCGGGACTTGAGGTTCTCCAAGGGAGGTCGAGGGGGGTGGAGACCGGGGGCCTGAGAGAGCTCTCCTAGGGCTCAGGGTAGGGTGGCAAGCCTAGTGAGGTGACACCGGGTGTGATCCTTCTCCCACCCTCCAGCAACAGCGTGAAGAGGTCCCAGCCAGCCCTGCCCATCTCCAAGATTGATGACCGGCTGGAGCAGTACACCCAGGCCATCGAGGTAGGCCCAGCCCTCCTGCTCTGCTGGGTCTCCACTCTGTTCATCCACCTCATTCACCCAATACCCCTCAATCCAACCAACACCCCTCCACCCAACCAACACTCCTCCACCCAACCAACACTCCTCCACCCAACACTCCTCCACCCAACCAACCCCTCCATCCAACCAACCCCCCTCCATCCAACCAACACCCCTCCACCCAACCAACACCCCTCCACCCAACCAACACTCCTCCACCCAACACCACTCCATCCAACCAACCGCTCCATCCAACCAACACCCCTCCACCCAACCAACACTCCTCCACCCAACACCCCTCCATCCAACCAACGCCTCCATCCAACCAACACCTCCCCATCCAACCAACACCCTTCTATCCAACCAACACCTCCATCCAACCAACACCCCTCCATCCAACCAACACCTCCATCCAACCAACACCCCTCCACCCAACCAACACCCCTCCATCCAACCAACCTCTCCATCCAACCAAAACCCCTCCACCCAACCAACACCCCTCCACCCAACACCACTCCATCCAACCAACCGCTCCATCCAACCAACACCCCTCCACCCAACCAACACTCCTCCACCCAACACCCCTCCATCCAACCAACGCCTCCACCCAACCAACACCTCCCCATCCAACCAACACCCTTCTATCCAACCAACACCTCCATCCAACCAACACCCCTCCATCCAACCAACACCTCCATCCAACCAACACCCCTCCACCCAACCAACACCCCTCCACCCAACCAACACCCCTCCATCCAACCAACATCTCTCCACCCAACCAACACCCCTCTATCCTGCCAACACCCTTCCATTCCCCATGCCCTTCCAGCCCTATGCCATGAGCAGTGTGAGGACATCATCACCTGTGCTCTACAGAACAAGGGAGCTTCAAAGCACACTGCCTAGAGGAGCACACATCTTGTCAGAGCCCTGCTCCTGCCCTAGGTTGGGGACGTGCCGCTGGGGAAAAGCAGAGACACAGAGGGTGGCCCCTGCATGCTCCCCGGGCTCTCCGAGGGGTCCCACGTGGCTCTCCACTAACGTGGCATCGGACTCTGTCTCCTCTGCAGACTGCTGGCCGGAACGCCAAGCTAACTCGCCAGCCCTCCATCGAGCTGCCCAGCATGGCCGTGGCAAGCACGAAGAGTCTGTGGGAGACGGGAGAGGTGCAGGCTCAGTCTGCGGCCAAGAGCCCCTCCTGCAAGGTAGGAGCCCTCCCCTGCGAGGCCGTCCAGGCGGAGACCACCCAGGTCGGCCCTGAGCGTGGAAGGTGGCGGGGAGAAGATTGCTTGGCGGAGTGAAGGCAGAAGGTGCAGGCCGCCCTTCCCTGCCTCTGCCGGGCTCTCGGCCCTCCTGCAGGCAGCAAGCAGCAGGCCCGCCTGGCCAGTGGGGCCAGGCTGGAGAGAAGGGCCCAGGGCTTCGGCCCCAGTCTGCTGTCTGCAGTGGTGACGTGTCCTCCTTCCACCCCAGGACATCGTGGCTGGAGACATGAGCAAGAAAAGCCTCTGGGAGCACAAAGGAGGCTCCAAGACCTCATCGACCGTTAAGGTAGAGTCCGTAGGTCGTGGTGGCAGGGAAAGCAGGTCCGCAGGCGAGAGCCACGAGGGACCATCCTGAGTGCGTCCAGGAGGGCTTCCCAGAGGCAGCGGCCTCTCCCTTCGGCCCTCTCACCTTTGCTCTCGGATTCCTTCCCGACAGAGCACCCCCTCCGGGAAGAGGTACAAGTTTGTGGCCACCGGACACGGGAAGTACGAGAAGGTGCTGATGGATGAGGGCTCGGGGCCCTAAGCATTCCCTCTCGGTGAGTCTGGGCAGCGGCCTACCTATGCGTGACGTGGACGGTTCTGGGAACGTGGTGACGGAGGAGGGGCCTGCACAGCAGCAAAGGTGCCCATGAGGGCCAAATGCCCAGCCTCAGAACTGGCCAGAACCCAGGTTCCTGGAGGCCTTCTTCACACCCTGACATCAACTCCGTGGCCTCGGGCCACTCGGCCGTTCTCCGAGGGGGACTCCACTCGCCCTCTCAGGACGAGGCCCTCGGGTCCCAGCTCGGCTCCCTGGGTGGGTGAGGTGGCTGGGCCGCTGCCAGTTGCAAAAAACTGATGGGAGGACAAGACGAAGCCCGGCCAGTAGTGGCCGAGGGTCTGAGAGCAACCAGTACCCGGGTCCTGTCCTGTCCCAGCCACGGCCTCTCTGGCGTCCACCCCCCTTCCCATCGGCGGAGCAGTCAGAAAGATGACCCGCTGCCACGGAGTGACACACTTTTATTTGTGGCCTGGGTCCCAGGGTCCACACACAGCACCCATTGTGTTCTGGAGTGAGTGGGGCCTCGGCCCCTCCCCCCCTCCCCTACTGAGTCCTCTCCAGGGCCAGGGCCGGGGCCGGAGGCCTCCCCAGGCCCCTCTGTGTCCCTCTCCCACTCACTGCAGTGGGTCGCCCACCCTGTGGCCCTCCTCCCTCCCTGCCTCCCAGGAGGCCCGGGCAGGTACTGGGTGTGAGGTCAGCCTGCCCAAGTCCTGGCTCATGTGGACACAGGCCCTTCCTTCCTACCCTGAGCCCCTGTCCCTCCACACATGGAAACCACCTCTTCCCTACCCCCTGCTCCGGCCTCGTCCACTTCCCCCATCCTCGTCCCTGTCCCTCCTGACAGCCTCCCCGGGCTCCCGCAGCCCCCAGCCTTTCCCAGGTCCATGCGGCCTCTTCACCGGCTGTGGCCCCTCCTGTCCATCTGGTCCGAGGCTCAGGGGCCACCCGGCCGCCCTTCACCGCAGCCTCCAGCCGGCCGCCGTGCGGTTGAAGTTCTTGGGCGCGGGGCTCAGCTCCAGGACGGGGTGGATGGTGGCAGGGGGCCGCGTGGCCGCCTCCTGCAGCTTCCGGGCATTGAAGCGGGGTCGGCACAGAAAGGGCAGGCGGCCCCGGCTGGGCAGGGTGCACGCCCCACCCCCCGGTCCTGCCGGGCGGTGGTGGGACTCTGCCACCGATACGCGGTACAGGACCGCATCCCACAGCCTGGAGGCCCGGGAGGCAGGGGGCCGGGACACCGGGTTAAAGGTGGGCTGGGGCGCCAGGTCCACGGGAGGCAGGGGGGCCTGGTCGGCAGGAGGCTGGGGGGCCGGGTCAGCAGGAGGCCGGGGGGCCGGTTCGGCGGGGGCCATGTTCTCCTGCTCCTTCTGCTCAGCTCTCCGCTCCAGCCTCAGCAATGGGGCCTCTTCAACCTCCTCCATCAGCTGCTTCTTGAGGCGCATCCACCCACTGAGCCGGGGTTTGGGCGCCACTTTGGGGACAGGGCAGGGGTGGGGACCTGCGGGTGAGGTGGGGGGCCAGGCCCCCCGAGGGCTGGAGACCTGCCGGGCCTCAGGGGCGGGGCCAGCTGTAGGGGGCTCCTCGGCCTCGGGGGCCACAGGGACTGGCCGGGCAGGCGAGGGCCCCGGTGAACGGCAGGTGGGCGCGATGGGCACCACCACCCGGGCGTGGGCCTGTCTGGGCCCCACAGCCAGGAAGCCAGGCGGCGGCCTAGGCACAGGGGGCGCCTCCGGCCAGGGCTTGGCCTCCTGGGCCCCAGCGGGAAGAGGGCGGATGTGGGCGACGGGGACCAGGGCCTGGGCTCCAGGGGGACGAGGGGTTGTGCCTCGGTCCTGGCCACCAGACCCCCCATCCGGGGCCATTGGGGGCGGCTCAGGGGCCCCGGCACCTGGGGGTGGCACCAGCTGGATGTGCACCCGGCTGATGTGGGTGTCCCCCGGGGCGGGTGCTGAGACAGGGGCAAAGCCGCTGGGCCCCTGGGCTGGTGCCGGGGTCCTGAGCGGGAGCCCTGGGGCCTTGAGGGGAGAGGGTCGGCTCCCGTGCGGAGGGAAGCTGAGAGCCAGCGTGGACTTCTGCAGGGGGGACGGCACACGGTGGGTGACGGGGGCGTGGGGGGCGCGGGGCAGGGTGGCTGCCGTGTGCGGGGCCCGGGCGGGGTGTGGGGCTGTGACCTCCTGGTCGTGGCTGGCCTCGCTCACGGGGGACAGGGAGCTGCGGAAAGCCCCCGTGGGGGCTGAGGGCCCAGCCCCGGCCCCCCTTTTCCGGGCCGCCTTCCTCAGAAGCTTCTGCAGGACCAGGTTGTCCTTCCCGGGCTTGGGCAGCAGGGGCGGTGGGGGCGCCGGGGGCCCTGGGAGGCACAGGCCCACCACGTCAGGGGGCGTCGAGGCGGCAGAGATGAGCATGTCTGCACTCTGGGTGAAGAGGGACAGTGGTCAGCCAGCTCTCTTCCCCCCGGACCCTCTCTGGGGCAGGGGGGACTTGCCCCAGAGTCCGGAAGGACCCCTCCAGGTGGGCTCTCGGCACGCCCGCCTGCATCAGCAGCTCCATGGGCGGCGGTGCGGTCCCCGGGCGAGGAGCGAGCCCGCGGGGGGCCCCGTTCGGTGGGTGATGAGCGAGGGCTGGAGCGCAGCTGGGCCGGAGGCCCGCCGGCGGCTCCAGGCGGGGCACGTGCTGGGCCGGCGCCCACGGGCCAGGAAGCGCGCCCGCCCGCAGCGCGAGGGGCGCCTCGCCGTCGCCGGCCCGACCACAGGCGCGTCCGCTGCGAGCCAGCGGTGAGGGCGGCGGCCAGGGGCTCCGGGCGAGGGGCTCATCCTCCGAGGGCGAGGGGCCGGGCGGTGGGAGCCATTTTCGCTGAGCTGTGCGAAACGGGGCTTCCCACAGACCTCCGGGCGGGGTGGTCCCGGCCAAGCCGCCCGCCCGGTTTCTGGGCGCCATGTGCGAGCAAGGACATTGACAAATGGTGTCTGGGCCGAGCCAGAGGCCGCGGGCGGGGGAGGAGGGAGGCCGGGGGCCTCTGGCTCCACCAGGCAGGGATGGGGGGGCCGGGGAGGGGTCTGCCCAGGGGCTCCATCGGGGCTGCTGTCTGCCTCGGGGAGGCCGGGGCCCCAGCAGCCACAGGAACCCCAGTTCTGTGTCTGGGGGGCTGCCAGGCAGCAGTGATGGGCAGATTCTCTAGGCCTTGAGTCTGAGCAAGGCCAGGGCTCGGGAGCTCAGCCTCCGGGTAGCAGACCTCCACGGGGGAGGCAGGCCTGGGGCAGGGGCTGCTCCTGGTGGGAAGGGGGGATTGTGGGTAGGCCCGGGTGGCCACCAGCAGCGGCTGGAGGCTGGTTGGGGCAGGGTGCCCTCTTGGGACTGCAGCCTAACACCCCCTCACCTGTGTTTCAGCTGTCCTGAGCTGGGTGCAGGCCGGGGGCTCCCTCCACACTTCCCACCCATGCTCCCGGGGAGTCCGGCCAGATGCCCACCCAGCCCTGCCGAAGAAGCCGCTTCCCATTGCCTGCCTGGCTGCCCACGCCCCGCCAGCACCCGCCACTGCCACCGCCTCTGTCCCCGGACCTCCGGCCTCGCTCCCCTCCGCTCCCTGGCCCACCGGCTCTGCCTCTCACAGCCTGGGAGGATGGGATGCTCATGGTGCTTGGCTGAGGGGACCATCCCCAGAGGCCACACACCCACCAGGAAGGGGTGTCCTGTGCAGAGAGCACACCAGCCAGGGGCCATCCCGTCAGGAGCCATCGATGCCTGCGGGAAGCTCATCCCTGCCTCTGCTTGCGGCCCCTTCATTTGTGCAATAAAGCTCTTTCTGTCCCCACACGCTGGCCCCTCGCTGCTCACTAACTGGGGGGGGGGGGGGGAACACGGGAGCAGGGCTGGCCGCGGAGCAAGAGCCACCCCCAGCGTGATGGTGGGACCCAGGTCTCTGGCCTCTGCATTCAGACACCCAGTCCCGTCCTGTCGCTTCTGGGATTAGACTCTTGGATCTGAGGTGTGTGATGGCCTAAATCCTGCCACACTTAATGGGTGGGTGGCAGCTCCCCTCTTCCAGAGTGTCTGTGATGTCTCTCCCTTTCTTGACTGGCCTGAGAGAAACTTCATAGCACCCAAAACAGTGTGCCCCTCTGGTCTGTGCACCCCCTGAGGACAAGACCTGCCTTGGAGTCAAGCCCCATTCTAGCACCCAGGAGTTGCTCAGTGAAGGTTTGATGTATGGACAGATGTCTGAATGATGGATGATGGATGGATGAATGGATGAGTGGATGGATATATGGATGGACAGATGGATGATGGATGGATGCATGAAGAGATAGATGAATGGGCAGATGAATGGATGATGGATGGATGAATGGATGGACAGACAGCTGAGTGGATGGATGGATGGGTGGGTGAGTGGATGGATGGATGAGTGGGTGAGTGGATGGATATATGGATGGATAGATGGATAATGGATGGATGCATGAAGAGATGGATTAATGGGTAGGTGGATGATGGGCGGATGGATGGATGATGGATGGATGGGTCTGTAGAGGAAAGAGAGGTAGGTGGGCAGGAAATGGTTGTATGAAGAGTAAATGGGAGAAGGGTTGGAGAGGGGGTCAGACAAACACATGCTGCCCAGAACAGTGGGTGGCTGGCTAGGTGGGTGGATACATGGTTGGGAAGATGGATATAGATGGATGGATGATGAAAAAGAAGGGAGGGAGATAGACAGTGATCGTGGATGTATAAAAATAAGTGAGTGGATGGGTGGGTGGGTGAGTGGACACATGTGTGAAGTGGGAGACAGGGTGGGGTCCTCCCTGCTTCCCCTCCTCTCACGGGCTCTGCACTTGGCCTGACTTTGGGCCCTGTGTCCTCCGTGCCTGGGGAGCCCCTTGCAGAGCCGGCGGGACCTTGGCCTGGATGCTGGGTTCTAGTCTGGCTCTGCACAGAGCCTCCGTTGCTGAAGTCCTTGTGGTCAAAACCTGCCAGCCTCCCAAAAGACAGAGCAAACATATAGGCTCAGAAGTGTTAAACCCGAAAAACTCCTGGCACTTTTTCTCACTCTGGCCCACCTCTGAGGCCAGGGAGGCAACCAGCCACACTGCTCTGAACCTCTCAGCCCTGTCGGGGCTGTCCATACCTGGCCCAGTCTGAGCATCACAGATTCCCACTGCTGCACTGACTCAGGACCAGGGGATCAGAACATGTCAACCATTGAGGCTGAGGGGTTGAGAGGGATCACTGCCCAAGGGGTAGCTGGCTGTCCACTCACCCACCCACCCATCTATCTATCCATCCATCCATCTATCCATTCACCCATCTATCCAGCCACTCATCCATCCATCTATTCATCTATCTATTCATCCATCCATCCATCCATCCATCCATCCATCCACCTGTCCATCTACCCATCTATCCATTCATTCATCCATCCATCCATCCACTCACCCATCCACCCACCCACCCATCCACCTATCTGTCTGTGCACCCATCAACCTGTCTGTGTACCCATCCATCTATCGACCTATTCACCCACCCACCCACCTATTCGTCTATCCATCCATCCGTCCATCCGTCCGTCCATCCATCCATCCATCCATCCATTCATCCATCTACCCACCCACCCATCCATCCACCTATCCATCCATCTATCCATTCATCCATCCATCCACCTACCCATCCACCCATTCATCCATCCATCCATCCATCCATCCATCCATTCTTCCATCCATCCGCCCACCCATCTACCTATCTGTCTGTGCATCCATCCATCATCCATCTGGACTGAGGCCCTGCCATCTGTTCTCTTACCTGAGAGGCCTCCTCCCACCCCCCTGCTCTGGGCACCAGGGCCCACACATGGGAGGAAGAGAGCCTTTAAATTGCCCGGGCACCGGGCTTGTGGGGCGGCAGCTGCATGGGGATGGGAAAGTGCAATGTCAGCAGCTTGCACCTTGGCCTGGCAGAGCCAGAGCCCAAGGCCTGCCAGCTGCAGCCCAGCAGGCACCAGCAGTCACCCAGGTCAGCTTGGGGCTCTCAGGCCCTGTTCAAGCTTTTCAGGTTCCAATACCCCAACCATGCATCCTGGGGGCCAGGCCAAGATCTAGGAACCCCTGCCCTCCCCAAGGTCACTCCAAGAACAGCTGGCACCAAGACCCTTGGGGGCCGCCCTCCCCGGCTCTGCTCAGCCTGCCCACACTGTCCCGGGCGTTACCTGCAATCAGTCCTCACCCTCTTCCTGGAGTGAAGACCAGTCACCACCACAACCCGGGCCGGACCGTCCCTGCCCCTGCCTCCGTGCCCTTCCCACTCCCCCAGCTGCCAGGCCCGGGGACGAGTGTGGATTACCTGTGGAGGCCCTCGGTGTCCCGCAGCCCGGCCAGCAGTGCCCGCTGGTGTGTCCTGCCGTGCCGTGGGCCTGGCGCCTGAGGGGAGGTCACCGATGCCCAAAATAAAACCTGCCCCGTCCCTCTGACCTCAGCGCCCACACGCTGGCTCAGCCCGCTCACCGAGAGCACCTGCCAGGGGCCGCGCGGCTGAGTGGGCAGCCACCCTCCTCTGCTGGCCGAGTGGGGCCACTGCAGGTGCAGCCGGTGGGAGCCCCCTGGGCCCGGCACGGGGTGAGGGGCAGCGGGCAGCGGGCAGCTCCTTGGGTGCCTGGGGCTCCAGCATGGCCCACAGACAGCCAGCTGCCCCGGTGCTGTCGGTGCATGTCCCAGCCTCGGTGGGTGGGGAGGTCCTGGGGCTGCTGGCAGAGCGAGAGGAGCTGATCTGAGGAGGGGGCCACTCAGGGCTTCCAGAGCCCAAGGGGCAGAGAGTGGGTGCGAAGGGGCCCAGGGTCAGGGCTGCGTGTGGCCCAACAAGACCTTGCCCACTAAGGACCGGGACCGCTGCAGGGGACACCGTGGGGCCAGAGGAGCCCAGAGTTCTTCCCAGGAGGGTAGGGACAGCCCCCGCAGCTCTGGCCTCTGGGGGGCCCCACGGCAGGGCCCTTGGGGAGGTGGGCATGGAGGGTCTCCGTCTGCCTCCTCTGGCGAGGGACCACGGTATGTCCCTGCCTCCCTAGGTCCCCGACTTCATCGCCGACCTCCAGGGACTGCACGGGTGCAACCAAGACCTTCCGAGGGCCTCCGAGGTGGGCACCGAGGGGGGCAGGGCTGGGCACGCCAGCTTCCCAGCAGGCCCCCTGCCACCCTGGCCGCCGAGGTCCAGAGGGCAGCGGTCTCGTCTGTGTCTGCCTTGCCTGAGCCGGGGTCTGGAAGGTACCAGGCTGCTCTCCCCCCCTCCGGGCCTCGGTTTCCCTCATTGGAGGGGCCGGGCCGTGGGGACCATTGGAGGCCGAGTGAGCTGTGTGCTGGCTGGAGGGTGCCACCCAGGGATCCAGGGGCACGGCCGAGCCCCCTGTGGGCTGGGAGCTCCAGGCTGAGGGCAGAGGGGGCCCCTGACCTGCGGACTAGCAGTTGCTCATCCCTCTAGCCTGAGCACTCCCCACACCTCAGGGGCCTGTGCCCAGGACCAGGTCTGGCCTTGCTGTGACCTCCATTCGAGGGGGGCTGGTTGAGGATTCGGGGTCCTCCCCGCCACGGGGGTCTCCAAGCCCTGGCCGCTTCCTCAGAGGGGCAGGTTGGTGGGCCGGGGCGCTGTGCAATGTGCACCCCGCGGTCACCCGGAATGGAGGGGCGCCTGGGCCGGGGACCCCACACCAGGCCGGCCCAAGGAGAACCCTGTGTGTCCCCGAGGGCACTCAATCCCTTCCTTCATCCTCCTCGGCCGCTGAGAATGCGCCCGCTGTCCGGGCAGTAAAAATAGAAGCTGACAGACACCTCCTGGGCTCGGCGGGCGGCCCGCTCCTCAGCACACGCGCCCCCTTCCTCGCCTCCTTGGGCTCCTCCTGGGCTATTCCTATACTTGGTCAGGGACCCGGATGGGCACAGCCCCGGCCGCCCGGCCCCAGCCAATGGGCTGCTGGGAAAGATCGAGTGTCACTACAACATAAGGCTGTGGGGCCGAGAGGGCAGCACCCGAGCCGGTCCTGTCCACAGGGAGCTGCAGCCTTTTCTCCAGACTCAGCCAGGTGGGGACACGGGCGCGGCCGCGGCCGCCGGGCCTGAGGGCCGGGGCCTGGGCAGCTGCGCCCCAGGCACTGACTGGGGTCCCGGGACCGGGATGACAGGCTGCCCAGCTCTGGAGTCTCAAAGGGTGGAGGCCAGGGGAACCATGGGAAGCACACTGGGGTGCCCCCGAGGCAGCGGAGGCCCAAGTGGGGGACCTTCTGGGAGGTCCTGGTGGTGGGGGGTCCCAGGCTGGGGCTGAAGCGAGCTGAGGGTTCGGAGACAAAGCGGCTGGGAAGGCTGCCTCCTGAGGCTCTGGCTCCGGGTGGCCATGGCTCTATGGCCGCCATTTGCACAGACGACACCCAGGCGGGGGCTCACCCAGGCGGCCAGGATGGCCCCGGGCAGGGTGGCCAGGACCCCGGTGGCCAAGGACGGGAGCGGACAGGGCCGGGGGGAGGTCAGGGCCCACGGCAAGTGAGTGGCAGGGCCTCCTGTGTCCCCCTTCCCGCCCCCCTAGCTATGTCTTGTCACCCCGGAAGGAGGGAGGGTGTCTCCCAAGGAACGCTGACCTCAGAGGCTATTTCCACCCTCTGGGCCAGCTGGCTCCTCTCCACTGTGCTGTGCCGTCCCTGCCCCAGCACCCTCCTTGTGCCCCCCTCCGGATGCCCCTCAGGCTCCTCCAGAAGGACAGAGGGACTCAGGCGGTCTGTGGACCTACGGGGACACGGAGCAGGGCTGGCCTGGCAAAGGCCCGAGCAGGCAGCTGCCCCGCAGCCCC